CTAGTCGTGTCCATTTTTGGAAGCGCGGCCTTGAGTGAGCGGCGGCGGTCTAGAGTGAGCAGAGGCCGGGGGCTAGAGTGAGGAACAGCCGGAGGGCTAGAGTGAGCGATGGCGGGCGGGCTTGAGAACGGCGTGGCCGGAGGGCTAGAGTGAGCGGTGGCGGGCGGGCTTGAGAACGGCGCGGCCGGTGAATTCGATGAAAGAGCATCTGGAGGGCTTGCAGAAACCACATGTGACGACCCCGGGCTGGACTCCGCTTCGTCCACGGTGAAAGCCGATCCGGCGCAGGCGTGGCTGACTCTTAACTTTTATAAAAAACATCTCTTTTTGAGACTTTAGTCTTTGCAACTTTACAGATCTTCTTTATGCACCAAGAGCTTGTAACACTCCAAAGAGAAAGGAAAAATTGAAATCCCATCATATGACCCCTTTAAGACAGAAGGGTAGCGTGGATTCAATTTATCAACTAGAAGTAATGCAATTTAAAAAAAGCATACTGCATGTTTTAACCTGAAGGTCAAGTTTAGCTGTTAGAAATTAATTTAGGCCTAACATCTAATTATATTATATAACTATGTAGCCTACTGTGCTTTTGGCATGCATTTTGTATTTTAATATAGCATGTTAGTGGAAAGATCATCCATCCTTTCTGGCCTTTGAATCTTCATTCATGCTTAGAAGACAGTTTGGGATGTTTTAATCAGCAGCATAGTGGTGCACACTGAAAGACAACACATGCGCTAAGGTCATTTGCGTTATGCCCTCAATTCAGATTCTCTGACACAATGCAAAACTAATGTGACTATAAGAGAATAAAGGTTACAAAGTCACATTTGGCATATTAACACTTCTGTAATACAGCATCATCACAATGGCTTTTACCTTTCCAAATCATCAATACTGGGTGCATCTAAGAAAAAAATTGGCAAGATAAATAAATATATATATATATATATATATATATATATATAACTTATATATCACTTTTGGGAAGCATAAAAAATACTAAAGACTCTTTTCTGAAACAGACAGAGACTGTACATTTGTTTTCATATCCTAACATTGTTTATCTCACACACACACACACACACACACACACAAAAACTGACACTATATTGACTCATCTGCAATATCACTGTTAAGAGCCACATCTCTATTATCTGGTTTATTCAACACAGGTAAAGGCTTCCCCTGTGCATGATATCTGATTATTTCCACTGACTAATTACAGCTGAGCTGTGCTGCTCTGAATGCACACAGTGAGATGTGAAGAACAGTAGAGTATTACGCATTATGCCACATCCTATGAATAATCTATAGTGGAGTCCCAGCAGTCAGCTGCAGTGCTTCTAATTGGGTTCCTGATTTAAAACGTCTACGGCAGCCAAATTCCCCTTGCCCTAAGGAAATGGAGATCAGCTCTCAGGAAGACTCGGAAGACACATGGGAGCCAGATGACTCAGACTCAGATTGGATAGATAAACAGGGAGAATTTTGTCTCTTCGAGTAAACAAAACTTTCCCAGCATACTCCCATTGTCATGAGGGATGCATTTGATTGACGTTGTTTGGCCAAGGGCTTCAGTGATAATGGGCCAATCAGAAAAAGTATGGAAACATGGATATTTTTCCCCCATTTTGCTGTGTCTGTATCATTCTCGGTCAGTGGAGACCATTATTTTCTCTTGATGACCATACAGGCACACAAAAAGCCATGTTTGCCACTAACATCTGTACTTACAGTTGAAAACAGAAATCTGCATCACCTACAGTATTTAATATATATATATATATATTGTAAACCTTGGTGAAAAAGTAATAACTTTATGAAACGACTTTACTATATTGATAATATCATTTAGGCCATGCAGGCTGTTGGATGTGTTAAAGGAATAGTTCACCCCAAAATGAAAATTTGCTGAAAATGTACTAGCTCTCAGGCCATGCAAGATGTAGATTAATTTGTTTCTTCATCAGAACAGATATGGATAAAGTTAGCATTACATCACTTGCTCACCAATAATTTTACTGAATGAATGTGAATGGGTGCCGTCAGAATGAGAGACCAAACAGCTGATAAAAACATCACAGTAATCCACACGAAACCAATTCATCAAGTGAAGTCTTGTGATGTGAAAAGCTGCATGTTTGTAAGAAACGTGATCATCACTTCTAGACAAAATAATCCAGCTATAATCTATCATAAAAGGGAAAGTTCACCCAAAAATGAAAATTCTGCCATAATTTACATTAAGATATTTTGAAGAAAATTGATAACCAAACAGTTGATGGACCTGACTTCCATAGTATGGGAGGAAAATACTATTTAAGTCAATTGTTTGGTTACAGAATATCTTAAGAATATCTTCTTTTGTGTTCAGCAAAATAAAGAAATTCATAGAGGTTTGGAACAACTAGAAGGTTAGTAAATGATGAAATAAGTAAGTGAACTGTTCTGTTTCGTTAACAAAGCTATACCATAGGTCTTTGGTGATAATGGGCCAATCAGGAAAGGTATGAAAACATAGATAACTTTTCCTCATTTTACAATGTGTCAGTGTCATTCGGTCAAAGGCGACCGTTATTTCCTCTTGAGGAACATACAGGCAAACAAAAAGCCAGGTTTGCCACTAGAATACTAGATGACACAATGTGAAAATCTGCTTTTGCATCCTGAGATAAACTACATATTCTGATAGAAATGTGTTAAAGCTGCACAACTTTTTTTGCAGTCACAGTTAGTTTTTAAAGTAATTTAAATGCCCAGAGGTCACAAAACTAATCTATCTTGTACCTGTGTTTCTCCAGACACTATCTTCTTTCACTCTCTACTTTTCTAGCAGTAAATGCAACTCCAGGTAGTCCTATTCTTTCTTTTTGAAAGACAGAGCTCGTCTCCCTGAGAGCGACTATAACATGCCGTCACACATCTTTCCATCGCTATGGTAACGACACTGAGGTGCACATGAAAAGAAACCAATGTGCTGTAACATGGGAACATTAGATCAGGACTAGGTCAGTATGACCCGCAATTGGTGATCCATTCACCCATAAGGCAGTCCGATGAACAATGACACTCACATTTCACTATGTGAAGTACCTGAGCTTTGCCAGTTGTATCTCTGGCTTGAAATGTTGCAGCCTGCATCTTTGGCAAGTATATTTCCCAATTAGCATTTTTATTGGTTGATAGCAGGGTCACTAACATATAACAGCGTCCATACATATGTATGTATGTATGTAAAAAAAAAAAAATATATATATATATATATATATATATATATGCCAAACTACTTAATAACTACACAGTTTCTTTTAAAGAATTTCATTCTTACAATGAGGCTTTTTTTTCTTTTTCTTTTTTTTTTTGCAGAAGACTGTATAGTCACATAGTCACAAGTTGTCAAATTTCTTATCCAATCAATAATTATCAGCATAGGTTTTGTTTTGAATTTACATTTCTGTATAGACATAAGATAGGAACTGTCATCACAAATCTTATACAAGCAAGGTCAATGAGAAATAAGATAAGAGATTTGTATACTGCACTGTCTGAGCAATTGTCTGCCCCTGATAAATTTAGATCTGATTACTGACTTTGTCTATTCACTTAATGGCAGTCAGACAGTCATCAGATTCCTATGAATAACTCCATATTATTGAAACAGCTGATTCATTGTTGTGGACTGAGGATTCATCAATACGATGACGGTTCCTAGAACAGAAAACACTGCAGTACGTTCAGTCTAGAGGAATGGACAATATCTTTATTGGCTTTGCACAAAATACATTAAAGCATTCACACCCACTGATCAAAAATGCAAATATCAAGACAGAAACTCATTCACATTGAAATGCAACAGCAACCAGAACAAGAACTTTAACATGTACTGGAATGTTTTTTTTGTTTTTTTTTTGGTCTTGCTTAATAGTCTTTGTGGTTTATAAAGCCTCATGCATTTAAAAGGAACAGATAAAGAATAAGAAAATACACAAGAAAGTAAGACAATTAAGTATTGATTGTATTTCAATCACCGTGTGATCATAATAAAGGCCACAGAACAGACAATATGGCCCTGTTAGTTAGGAGAGAAATGATATACAAGCTGAAACTGAAACTGAAAAAGGTTAATATGGTACAACTTCATGCAGTTCATCAATACAGTGCAAACATTAAATACTGTAGTCATATACTGTAAATGTGGAAACACAATAGTGCAAACACCAAACCAACAAGCACTGCCATGACATTATTCTGGAGATAAGAAATCCAGAAACCCAACAAACAGTAATCTAACATCTATACTGACAAATGAATCTCTGTTATATACTGTAAATTACAAACACCTGCATCACCTACTCTAGGTGATCACCATTAGGACAGGTACACTTAAAGGAACAGTTCACCCACAAATGAAACATTTCTGAAAATGTACTCACCCTCAGGCAATTGAAGATGTAGATGAGTTTGTTTCTTGATTGGAAAAGATGTAAAGATATATTTAGCATTCCATCACTTGCTCACCAATGGATCCTCTGCAGTGAATGGGTGCCGTCAGAATGATAATCCAAACAGCTCATAAAAACATCACGATAATTTACAAGTTATCCACATGACTCCAGTCCATTAATGCACATCTTGGAAAGTGAAAAGAAGAGTGTTTACTCATTATTAACCCATTTAATCCCAATTTTTTTTCAGACATGAAAATATCCAGATGATGTGTCATTAGTAACCCTTTAAAATAATTTTAAAAAAAAATTCTTTTGGGAAAAGTGTGTGAAAAATTGTGTTTTATGTTCGGTCACAATTGTGACCGGTGGGATAATGTGTATACTGAATTAACATATTTCTGCAGTCACAAAAATTGTTATATATCTCAGCCCAGCTATTCGAAACTCTGTTTGATCACATTCTAGGGTTACTATTATGCATAAAAACCCTTGTACAACACTGATAAGAATACTGAGATAAAATACAAAAAAAAAAAAAGAATAATAATAATACAACCATCAACGTATTTCAAAATTGTTACTTTATTGTAACATATATCAGAAAATGATTGTATTAGTGCTACCAGTATTACAACATCAACTGTTGTAACTTATTTGTAACATTTGAACTTTTAATTTAGTGCAATATTTTGTGATTGCAACATTTTAGTGCATTTTTCACTAACAACTGCAATTGGATTCATATGTATACATAAATTCACTGTTATCGCACCGGTCACAATTGTGACCATCAACATGTTTACTGATTCTATGACAACACTCAACAAAATTGAATAATTGTGAATTCATATATTAATACTAGACACCTTAAAGATAATGTGGATCAAAAATCTTTGTCATATCATTGTTAACATACTTTACTAGCCTTCTCATGGTGCAAACAGGAAATAAACTGCTCTGGTCATGTGACACTTTGCACTAGCCATGTGAAACTGCACATATTATTTATTTGAGACCCTTTATTTTTTCCATATTTGCAAGAAATGCACTAAAACATCAGTCAGTAAGGTTTTTAGAGCTTTATAAATGAAAACCCTCTTTACGGTCACTATTGTGTCAGGTGGGATTAGATGGGTTAAAGGCACAATATGTAATTTTTCGCCGCTAGAGGGCGCGTATTCAAAATAAACAAAGAAGACACGGTCCGTGTCACTAGTCAAAATTGCTTATTTCTCTGGATTTAAACATTCTTCGAAACATTTGGGATAATGTAAATACACAAGTCCGAAAAATGTTCTAGTGGTTTTTGGATATTTTAATTAAAAAAATCTTACATATTGGGCCTTTAAGCTGTTTTAACTTCACACCGTCGCTTCTGGTCAAAATACCAGTCCATAATCCATAAAAACACTTTCTCCAGTGAAAAGTCCATCACCTATTATCCTCTCACATCAAAATCCACTGACAAATTTGTTTCATTTTGTTTTCACTTGTAAACAGTGCTTAATCTGTGCATATTTCTCTCCTGATTCAGACTAGATGACTTTTTCGCTAGAGACAGAAGTATGGTGGATAGACATTCACAAGACGTTAACTGATGGACTGGAGTCGTGTGGATTACATTTGGGTTAGAATTATGTTTTTATCAGCTGTTTGAACTCTCATTGTGACGGCACCCGTTCACTGCTAAATAATGCTACATTTCCCTAAATCTGTTCCAGTAACAAAACAAACTCATCTACATCTTGGATGACCTGAGGTTGAGTAAATTTTTGGGTAAATTTGGGTAACATTTTTGGGTAAACTGTTTCTTTAAAAGTCAACATGAAATATTTCTTAATGCACATTCATGCTCTGACTTTGGATGATTCATCTGTGAATGTTATTTAAAAGAAATTTAAATAGCTTGAAAAAAGTTTCTCCTTGTAACCTTTAATGAAAACATTAATTTGTTCTGCCTCTGAAATGACTTTCCTGTAGCGATGGATAGTGGATGGTGTTAACCAGTGACTGAATAGCTATTGTTTTAGCAACTTCATATTCGTTATGGCTCCAAATATGTCCCATTATGGAAGTAAAATAGGTTGCAAACATCAATTCATGTTGACTTTATGGCCGCCTACACACTTGAAAAAGCTCTGATGGAGCATTTGACAAATAGGAATCATTTTAAAGTTGTGGAAAGAGTCGGTTCAGTTTCAAATGGAGCAGAAATAGGCCTACTATTTAGATTACAAATGGACTGTCTCTAAAAACTTTTGGTCGTAGTTACATAATATCACTTTTGCAAACTCTTCATTTTTCCTCGTCCTTCAGATGCGTCATCTCCATTAAAAACAATGGATTTGCAGAGCTCCCTGCAAGAACTATTGCACTTGAGTTTCACATTTGGATGCAATGACCTTTGTTCAGTAAATAGTGATATTTCAGTAACATTTATGCACAGTAAAATGAAAAACCATACAATACATCTGAGGATCCCTGTCATTTATTTTAAAAACTTATTAGTATTCTCAACAAACAAGCCTTTATTTATTTATATAATCAGAAATAAAGGATGCATTTTAATCTATCTGTTAAACTAATCTTTTCCTTCTTCTCTTGTGCTCAGTGTTGAACTTTGCCCTTAGAAATGGGTCCCCTGTGTTAGGGGATTACAGAGAGGCAGAGGGCGTTACTGATTGGTGTAGGAGGTGGGCCCACTATAATTTCCCACCTGGCTGTACTCTGATTGGGCGAAGTCCCCCGTTCCAGTAAAAGCTCCTCCTGACTGATCAAAGCTTCCCTGGTTGTAGACCTGCTGGTTGAAGGCTGTCGTTTGTTTTTCTGAGGACGAGGCAGGGTACCTTGCTGCACCTCCCTTGTGCCATCCTGTCTCTTTAAACACAAACCAGATGTTTCCAGCCCACAGCACGAAGTTCAAATAACCAAATACCTGTGGAAAAAATGCCTTGATGAATACAAGAGATAAACATAGTTTTATTCTAAAGCCCTTTGAATAAAACCGAAGAACTTCAGCAGTTCTACAAAATATTAAATATTTAAATGTTATTAATTTATTAAATGTTTAAAAAATTAGATTTTAAATATTGCATATTATAATACATTTTAAAATATTTGTATAAATACATTTAATATTTAAAGTATTTTAATATATTTATCACATGAGCCTTCAGAAATCATTCTAATGAGCTGATGTAAAAGTGTTTCTTAAAATTATGTTAAAATCAGTCATGACATATATAAAATATTTAAACACATAAAGTATAATTTGATAAATATTTTGTGCCCATTAATGGATAGTTCATCCAAAAATGAAAATTACCCCATGTTTTACTCACCCTCAAGCCATCCTAGGTGTATATGACTTTCTTCTTTCAGATTAATATAATCGGAGTTACTGTATATTAAAAATGTCCTGACTCTTCCAAGCTTCATAATGGCAGTGAATAGGGGTTGAGATATTAAAGCCCAAAAAATGCATACATCCATCATAAAAAGTGCTCCACACAGCTCCAGAGGGTTAATAAAGGCCTTCTGAAGTCATTCAATGCGTTTATGTAAGAAAAATATCTATATTTAAAACTTTATATACCATAATCTCTAGCTTCCGCTAACTGTCGTATACGCATTCACTAGAGAGTGGCGTTCCAGCAGATGACATAGAATGTAGTATTCACTTCAGAAGGGCTTTATTAACACCCCTGAGCTGTGTGGAACACTTTTTATGATGGATGGATGAACTTTTTTGGGCTTTAAAATCTTGACCCCCATTCACTGCCATTATAAAGCTAGGAAGAGTCAGGACAGTTTTTTAATATAATGGCGATTGTATTCGTCATAAAGAAGAAAGTCATATACACTTAGGAGGATGACTTGAGGGTGAGTAAATCATGGGATAATTTTCCTTTTGTGGGTGAACTATCCCTTTAAAGGTTGTAAATGAAAGATTAGACACCCAAATACAAGTAACATACACTAAATTGCCAAAAGTATTGGGACACCTCCTTCTAATGAACAGGTTTGACTACTTTAGTAATTTCCAAGAGAACAAATCATAATGTTTAACCATATAATGATATTCTAGGGAATTGTGTGCTTCTAATTTTATAGAAACAGTTTGGGCAGGACCTTTTTCTATTCTAACATGACAATGCATCTGTGAATAAGGCAAGGTTCAAAAAGAAATGACTGATTCAGTCAGTGTGGAAGAACTTGACTGGTCTGCAGAAAGCTTACAATTTTTAAATACATGAATTATGTTTCCATCTTTATTGCCACAGTGTGAAAAAACTGAAAAGTGCCTTTTCAGTTCTAAAGAAGTACCCAATACTTTTGTCCATACAGGTCAGTGGTGTTTGGTGATGAGTTTTTGGCTCAAGTTCTGCATTTAAAGTCACACCAGAGGTGTTCAGCTGGGATTAGGACTTTGCTTTCTACAGACCAATTATGTTCTTCCACACTGACTGAATCAATCATTTCTTTTTGAACCTTGCCTTATGCACAGAGGCATTGTCATGTTAGAATAAAAAAGGGTCCTGTCCAAACTGTTGCTATAAAATTAGAAGCACACAATTCCTTAGAATATCATTATATGCTTTAACATAAGCATTTAACATATTTAAGATTTTTACTCATGGAAATGACTAAAGTAGTCAAACCTGTTCATTGGAAAGGGGTGTCCCAATACTTTTGGCAATATAGTGTATGTGGCTAGAGTGGCGTAATCTGAGTAACTCATGCCGTACCACAGATGTGTTCAGGCCAGACCATCTGGGTCCGTACACTGAGCTGCACTTGTTGGTCTGCACCTTACATGCAGACATGAGCAGAACCACCTCATCTGGATCAGTCGCCGCCTTTACATCTGAAAGACCTTTTGCCCAGGCAGATGAACTCACTAGCCACATAAATGAGAACACCACCATCACTATGAAGTCCTGGGGAGCATCAAGAAAGCATGTTACATGTATTTCGATTCAGACTCTGTTGCTAATTTCAAGAACTACTTTATCATTAAAAAAATTACACACTAAAAGCTCTACACTCAATTACTATGATTTGCATGCAAGAATGAATTACAGTATGCTAAGTATGACTACATTTAATGTGGGTGTTTTACAGTATAAACAGCAGCTCATGTCTTGTTTATTAATCTTCTCTAATAGCAAGGCTTCGACAGAGATTCAAGCATTTAGCTTGTCTAAAATAACACCAGGGCTCACAATGAGAGGGCCACGGTTGTTTTCGCGGTACTTGTTCTGGAAAAAGATGTAGACCACAGTGGCCAACAAGGAGTACAGGAAGGAAAAGACAGCAATGGTGACGAAGAACTCGGCAGAGGAGGAAAAGTCTCCGATCAGGTAAAGCCGCTCTTGTCTCCTTCCCTCACACATCGGCACGTCAAATTCCACCCGGTTCAACCTGTTTCATGTAAGGCACAATAACATGGTACTTTTTAAATACAATTTGTGGTTAGATTAGGTATACTTCAGTGTCAGCATTTACTAACTAACACTGGATAGTAAGATATATAGTCTCTGTCATAAGGTTACTTTAGTTCTTTTCTATTTCTGCCTTGTCCTCCTTTGATAACTATGAAGTTGAAGCCCAGCTCTACTAAATACAGTGAGACCTGAGGGCTACTTCAAAGCATCACATTGCTGTGGGCATCTTGTGTGTGTGCTTGACCTTTTAGGGCAACACAACAACAACAACAACAACAACTTGGACACATATTATTTGAGACTACAAAAGAATTCCAGTCTGTCAAAAACATTTTCAGTTATGGTGGTGATTCATTACAGAACTCTGTTGTCTTCTGTTCTTTAATTTGACAGCATATGACTTCAACTCTGTTACCACAATGGATAACAATGAAGACAGGATCTGGTGTGTGATTCTAGTGTATGTGTCAACTCATTTATTGAGTACAAATGAGTGAGTGTGTTTCTGTCTCAGAAAGAATTTCTCATCTCTGAAATTGCTAAAGAAAATTTATATTTAAGACAGAACTATGAGGTACTTGAAATGGAAGATAAGGCTTAGCCTTCTAAATCTTCTATTCAACCATTAATTTATTCACACAGACAAAGGCCATTGGAAATATGGAAAATTTATTAATTTGTCAATTGGTAATCTGATAATCAACCGTTATATACATACTGTATATGTATTAGGGTTATGAAAGCACTGAATGCACTTAGATTCACTGATTTACTAGATGAACTAATTTAATTTTATATCTCCATTGTATACTGATCGGCTACTCACAAATCAGGCAACCAACTGGACCTTATTTACACACGACACTGCTCCACTGATCATGTACTGGTTACTCCACTGCACACCTCGGATCACTTCCTCCTCACTCTTAACCTTAACATGGTTCCTGAATCCTGACACAACACATACAAGTCCACATGCCATCTTTCGATGTAACCTACGCTCACTCTCACCCTCCCAACTATCTGCTATGATTTCATCTTCGCTTCCTCCCCCTAAACAGTTATCATCTCTTGATGCTAACAGTACTACTGATATTGCTCCTCTCTTACATCTTGTTTAGACACTGTCTGCCCCTTGTCTTCCAGGCCAGCTCGTACCACCCTTTCTGCCCCTTGGATGTCTGATGTTCTCCGCGAACATCGTTCTAAGCTCAGGGCTGCTGAAAGGGTATGGGACAAATAAAAAAATCCTACTGACCTTAATGTGTATCAGTCACTCCTCTCTTCCTTCTCTGCTAATGTCTCCAATGCTAAAAAGACATACTACCATAACAAAATTAACAATTCGTCTAACTCTCGCTTGCTCTTTAAAAAAATTTCGTATAACCCCACTACTTAAGAAACCCACCCTTAACCTATACAGTCAATATGATTGATTGATTTTACAAATCAATATGATTAGATCATGACAGAATGAAAGACATATAGCAACAGTGGTGTATAAAATCATCAACTTTGACGTGTATGAACAAGCTATGGTGAATGAAAAAATATTATACTGAACCTGAAAATCTTCCCAATTAGCACAATCAATTAATTAAAAAAATTGTTCTGATGCTGTGAATTATGTTTCCATTTAAAATACTGAATCCAACTGTTCTCGCCAAGAGACAAATCTTGTAACTGGCGGCACACAGAGAATACAAAGCTGAAACCATTACCACATAATCAAATGCTCCTGCGTATTAGAGTATTGAATTAAAGCCAGGTAATTATCTCTCTATTGCTCTGCAGAGAATATGCAGGGGTGCTTTAAATTAGTCTTACCTGAATGGGTAAGCAAAGTTGATGCCAATACTGAGGTTGCTGTCGGACTTGTTGATGCAGTCCACACTAACCCGCAGTTGCCCAGAGTAGCCTCCACATGTTGCAAATGCAAAGATGGCAAAAATCTAATGGAACATAACAAGCACAACAGTTAATATAAGAATTATGACATTATTGTTTCTCATCAGTTTATGAAAATACAAGTTATTAGTTAAAATTATTATTATTAATATTATTAATTTGCAGAAAATGCAAGTTTCTGTGGGTTACATTGTTACGCCAGTAGGTGGCTCCAAGTGATTGTTTTTACAAGTGAGTCATTCGTCAGTTAATTCATTCATTCAACCGATTCTTTCAAAACCCCTGAATCATTCAGGAAGGAAACAAGTGACCATTTGAGTGAATCATGGAGTCATTTACTTCACTAAAGCGATTTGTTCTGATTCATTAGTTAAAGAAACACCACATCTGCATGTTGATGCAGATGCACTTTCAAAAGCTAGCACTTTCAAAACTAGCAATACTGTGTGTAAAATATAAGTTATTCAATATTAACTTGTTTATTGAACAGTTGAATAAAAGGAACTGAATATCGGGAATCTTACATCAATAATCTCTCATATGGTCATTGGCTAGTTTTAACGTAACAGAGACGTGACACATCTTTTCAGATAACAAACTATTTTTCATGAGATATTACTTTACCATAAGTCTAATTACAGAAGAAGAAAAACGTTTTTGTAATAACTTGCATCGCCCCGACCTGAAATGACGTCACCAGCATTCATTACATTACAAAAGTTCCATGTTAAGGTTATAAAGAGAAAAGTGCTTAAAGGGACATTGTCTAACTAGAACAGTTGCTCTAATCACCATTATTTTATTTAGATACTGGATTAGCAGCAGTAATGTGAGACTGATCAATTTCAATTAAGTCTGAGCCACTGTAAACAAGCAATTAATTCTCATCCGGAGGAGTCAAGCACATTTGCAAAGGATGTTTGTGAACTCTGAGTGAAACTATGATGCCTGAACATCTTTCATAATAGAGATGACACTCACCAAGAGGTGTTCTCTGTCTCTCTGTCTCCTCTATCTTGTCGTTAACATTTTTCTCTTTTACCTCTCCAGATACCTGTATACCCCCCACCTCTGTCTCATTCCTTCTCACTGTTTTTCTCTTTATATGTCCATTACCCCTTTTTATTTAGGCCATGGATCTATTGTGAAGGCTAGTCTTATTAAGCACATGCTCAAGCTGTCTGAGAGCTAAACGCACTGGCATAAAACACATTTCTGTGACACTGATATGAGAATGGGCTCTCTGTAGGAGGTAATACATCTCAGTGAACCCATATACAAGTCATTCTGCAGATATGCAAGTCTGAAAGCCTGAAAAAAATCAATGATGAGCATATTTTCAAAATTCAAGAGAGACTATAATGTTAAAGAATGAAAGCGCACTGATTGATATAGTGCTCAAAGTTCATTATTTATTTATTTATTTATTTGTAATATTATTCAAAACATTCTGTGGCTGAAGGACATTAATGATTCAAAGACAGTATCTGGCAATGTAACAATGATAATACAAAAAGAAGAACCTGAATACAAACTTTTTTCCCTAAAAATTTACTAACACGAAAAGAAATTGCAAAAATAGAATCTGTTTTTAGACAGGTTTCCCCAAATAGGCAGTCCTGTCCAAACTCACACTGGTTGTTTCTATGTCAGGCCACTCAAACAAACAGGACAACAGGAAATCAACATTCAAATGACATATTACTGTTCAAAAAAGTTTTTTTTGAAGGACACATTAAATTGACCAAAAGTGACAGTAAAGACATTTATAATGTTACAAAAGGTTTCTATTTCAAATAAATGCTTTTCTTTTAAGCTATCTAATTATCAAAGAATTTTGGAAAAATGTACACACAGTTTGCACAAAACAATTATAAGCAGAACTGCTTTCTACATATAATGTTGAAATAATAAATGTTAATATGAAATGTTTCTTAAGCATCAAATCAGCATATTATAATGATTTCTGAAGGATCATGTGACACTGAAGACTAGAGTAATGGCTGCTGAGGTTTTGCCATCACACATTACACTGAAATCTATTAAAATAAAATAAAAACACATTATCACTGTTTTTACTGTATTTTTGATCAAATAAATGCAGCCTTCCTTCAAAAACATTAATAATTATTACTGACCCCAAACTTTTGAATGATTGATTTGTATTTGAATGGTAGTGCATAAAATTGTATAATATATATCATATTTAAATACGTTTTACAGATTTCCCACAAAATCAGCTCAGAAAATGTTGGAAAAACTACATTTAAGAGACAGTTTTTCAGACTTCAGAAGCTCTTCTGGGATACATTATATATATTCATATTGGACTATAAATCCTGCTTAACTTTTTCATATTCACTCCTCTATCAGTCTATTTTTTTATAGTTTTACATTCTAGCTTATTACTTAAAAAGTCTATTCAGGATACAGGTTTCAAACATGATACCTTCAACAATTAATAGCCAGAATGTCACCATGGTAACATAAAGACAGATATGCAGTGAACCTCCTCAACCTAATCACTACAATCTATTCAACTACAGAAATTCTTGCTTTTTTAGTTTTTAGTAAACCTAAAAAAGCTCACAATGGCATAGATACAGTGCGAATCCAAGGACCTCTTCATAGCACATCTACTATTCGAGAAACACTGGAAACCAAATCGCCTTTTTGCACCGCATTTCATTGATTGATTGTGAATAATGACTCATTCATAAGCATAACAGAAATAGAAATTTCACTCATTCTGAATTACAAATGATTCAGTCGAATGATGAGAGCAAATGTTAGCACCTAATAGGTCTCCAATGAATGGGATGTTGGGAGATCTGGAGTCTTACTGTTGTTTTAGAAGAAACTGCACCACAAAACTCACAAAAATCCCACATCTTACAAGAAAAACTACCATAGAAGATTATTATATTAAGTCAGTTTAACTCTATAAATATATAACTGTGTAACACCTGATGGCTGCTATGAGACATACAGGGATTGTGAAGCCAGGACTTACCGGAGCAAATATGACCATACACATTTAAAAGCAAAAGAGATATCCAGCTTCAGAACATATTAGATGTATCTTCTCCTCGTCTCTCTCTGCTCTATCTGCTCGTCTTGTAGTGTGGATGGTGAAGGGGGGAATGTGAGCTCAGGAGAGGGATGGTGCTTCCGCCTGGCTCTCTAAGTATAACCCTGCACTCCCTCTTTTGCTCTGAGGACGGGGGCTGCTCTACAGTCACAAACACACAGAGGGTCTCCCCAAATCACTTCACAATGAAGTCACATGTCATACTGGACACTGAATGCTGCAGTTTTTCATTGAAATGAAAGAGATTGTCCAGAGAGATTTTGTGGCACAGTGATCTGAGTGAATCACCAATAATGATCAGCAACATGGTCTCAGCTACATAGACTTGATTTAGTTTTACTTCCAAGAAATTTCTTAAATAATGTTAATATGGTGAAAGTTATTTAATTGTTAAAATGTTATTAGCTAATATTGCACTTTCAGTTTTTCGGTTTATTTGTTGTCCACCCTATTATGTAGTTTTTCAACCACAGTTTGATAAAATCAAGAATATTTTTGTTTTATATTATTTAGTGAGGGACATTTAAGTGCGTGTCCCTCAAAAAAAACGTTGTGCACATTTGGACTTAAACTGTAAAGACATAATTTTTCTTTAAAAAAATTAATTATGTGTTTTAAAAATATATTTTCAAAAATATATATAACTAATATTATATCATATAGGAATAAAGGACTTTTCATTAGTAATGTACACATACTGTATATACTGTTATGTATTTGTCCTTGACAGGATGAGCATTTTTCGTATTTGCCCCTTTTGTGATGATACAGAAAGATTCTTATACAAGTATATGTCATTTTTCTAAAGTTTCAAAGCCCTAAAGTTAAAAAAAATGGTATAGTAGGGACTTTAGTATAGGGACCAAATCTCACTATTAACTATATTATTAACATATTGGCTGTGTATTAGTGCTTATAAAGCACATATTCTATATGACCATGTCAAAAGCTAGGACACCAGTTTTCTGCCAATGAGCCTGCATCAGTGTGGAAAGGCCTGAAAGACATCACCAACTACAAGACACCATCCCCCAGCACTGTTATTTTATTCTATTCCTATTCTGTATATAGCACACCTGTACATACAATTTATTCTTTTTTTGTGGTTTATATTTATGCATGTGTATTTTATTCACATCTTATTTTTATTATCTGTGTGTTGTTGTTGTCTCCGTGTACTGGAAGCTTGTGACACTATAACAAATTCCTTGTATGTGCAAACATACTTGGCAATAAAGCTCTCTCTGATTCTGATTCTCTGATGTTCTATGTCCCTAATCCTACCCAATAACAACTACCTTACTAACTATTAATAAGCACCAAATTAGGAGTTTATTGAGGCAAAAGTCAAAGTTAATGGTTTGTTAATAGTGAGAATTGGACCTTAAAATATAGTGTGACCAAAAAAATATTAAATGAATAAATAAATAATGTTCTGTTTCATCCTTGCAGGATTGAGGTTTTAAGCAGGACTCTTCAACTGGCCAGTGTCCTGCAGACTTTAGTTCCAACCCTTATCAAACAGAACAAGCTTATCACAGTGTTTAGAATTACTTGTAAATTACCTACAGGTGTGTTTAATTAGGGTTGGAAATAATGTCTGCAAGACACCGTGTGCAACACTACAATAGTGTTGTATGTTATGAGACTGTTAGATGGCATGACGAAAACAGTTTTAGAGTTTATTGTCAATGTCATGTAGATGTCTATTTCAGATGTGTAGAAAATACCAGCCCTGCTAATAAAGCACATGATTAATTGCCACAGCTCTTAATATAAGACAGCACTGGCCTGTCATTATGGCCAAAACAATGATGCCTTCTCAAGGCTAACCACAAAATGCCTGCTCACATATCATGCCAAAGTAACTTGGAAAAGCTACAATCCTTAACAATGAAGCTTATGTCTAAGTAATGGAAATAAGAATTAGAGTCTCATGATGTGTATTAGAAC